TGTGTATAAGAGACAGGTCTAATTATTATAGCGAATAATTAGACACAGCATTTGACAATTATGTATGTAATATACAAAGGTGAACATGTACTTATGTAATATTTTATAAAAGACCAATGAATTTAATTAGACACAGCATCTGATAATTATAATGTATGTAACAAAAACTGATACCTGAAAGAAGAAAGTAAGACGAGAAATTGAAGTTATCGACTTAATGCCTTTTTTTAGATAGGATATGAGATATATGTAAGAGATATATAAAAGTAATGAGATATTTAATATATGATATTTGTATTTGTGCGTGCGTGCGTGCGTGCGTGCGTGCGTGCGTGTGTGTGTGTGTGTGTGTGTGTGTTATGTTTCAGGGATAGTGAATAAAGAGCGCGCGCAAAGCGCGCGCTTTGTTTTGTTCTAGTTTAACAAAATAGTACAGTTATTGTTTTATAATTAATTATAATCATGGAATTAATTCAAGATCTTTTGCATTCAGAATCATCGCGAGTCAATCGGCCGAAAGGCGACGGCAAAGAATCGAGTTTATCGTTGCTCGATAAAGCCTCGGAGTCGCGAGTCGCGACGGCCACCCCGCCACACGCGCCGCTCCGCTCCGCGTCGCGCTCGCGCGAACGCATCGACATGTCACCTGCCACATCCACCTCTCGTCGCCGAACTCGCATGCGACGCGCGGGTGACGTGTAGCGTGGTGTAGCGCGATGCCCGCGTAGAGTACGCCCGTGCCCGCTCGCGCAGCGCGATGGAGAACCACGAGGAGGACGAGCTGGAGGAACTCCGCTCCACGGTCTACACGTTCCCGCCGAACGTGCAGAACGTGATCGAGCAGGTTAAGTCCACCGCCAGTTCTTGCCTTCCTCACGTCGCCCGCTTTCAGGCCGCGTTTGCGGCCCGAAGCGCGAAGCAGCGGAGCTCTCTTCGATTTTTCCCTGCAACATTGACGTTCGCGATTCCTTCTGCATTTTTTTATTAATGTTGTTTAATAAAATATTCTCTCCAAAAACGTCCGTCTTTCCTTAAACGTCTTTCCAATTCCTTTGAACACACGTTTACACGCGCGACTTGTCATTGCTGGTTTTACGTATAATCATGTCTATAATTGTATACTTTTTTAATTTTTTCGTTGCTGCAAAACAAGCCTAACATCGTCTTTCTTGCTGTCAGGTGTTGAACATCACTGATCCGTTAGATCATCCCAATTTCAATGTGGTGGACCATATAAACTCGTTGTTTCCCACGGAACAGTCATTGTCAAATATCGACGAAGTGGTGAATAAAATAGAAAGGAAGATACATACCATTGATAAGGAGATACGGTCGGTCGTACGTGGACAGACAAACGTGGGCCAGGACGGTAGAGCGGCGTTGGAAGATGCGCAGAAGGTGATAAAGCAGTTGTTTGTCCATATAAAGGACATAAAGGACAAGGCGGAGCAGTCCGAGGAGGTGGTCAAGGAAATTACGAGGGACATCAAGCAGCTGGATTTTGCCAAGAAGAATCTTACCGCTTCGATAACGGCGCTAAACCACTTGCACATGCTTGTGGAAGGAGTGGACAACCTAAAGTAACTTTATAATTGCATAACTTTACAAAATGTTATTTAAACATTGTTCACAAAATTATAAATCTACCGTACGTTTCTTTCGTCATTTCAGAGTACTGACGCAAAAGAAACAATATGGAGAAATTATCTTACCGTTGCAAGCAGTGATGGAGGTGATGCAAAATTTTAATAGCTACATGGACATACCACAAGTGAAGCAGTTATCTGATCAGGTGGGGATGCAAGGTTCACCTTTAATAATTTATAGAAATGATTCTTTTAATGTGTTCCTTTAATTAATTTCCTTCGTTTAAACGAAAAAGGTACGCCAGATCCAGGATGAGTTGGCCCAGCAGATCACAGCAGATTTCAAACAGGCCTTTTCAGGCCAGAATCCAAAGCATTTCAATCAGTTGACCGAAGGATGTTTGGTATTATCAGTATTACAGCCTAAAGTGAAGTATGTATGTCTATATATTATATAGATATTTGCATATTGATCTTAGTGACGACAGAATTTTGATGGAGTCCCAAATATTTTTCTTCTTCAAAGGAAAGATCTGCTCGTCTGGTTTGTAAATATCCAGTTACAAGAGTACGCACATTTGTTCGATGAGAATCAGGATTTCGCCTGGTTGGACAAGATAGACCGGAGATACGCGTGGATCAAGAAACATCTGCTCGATTTCGAGTCGAAGTTCGGTACGATCTTTCCCCAAGACTGGGAAATTTCCGAGCGAATAGCCGTACAATTCTGCCATGTCACACGTGAAGACCTCACCAAGTTGATGAACAGGAGGCGTAATGAGATAGACGTTAAATTATTGCTTTACGCGATTCAGAGGACCAGTAATTTCGAGACGCTACTATCGAAGCGTTTTATCGGCAGCACTTTGGAGACTACCGATACTAAGCACGCGACAGTCAGTAATGAAGTCAGTAGAGAAGCGGAGAAGGGCCCGGGAAATCCTTTCGAGGAAGATGAGAAGGTATCGAAACTGTTTGTATTCGTATGCATTTGTATTTACTGCATCATTAAGAAGTACCTAAAAAATACATTCTTTTTATAATTATAGATTGAAAACGAAAAACCGAGGTCGTCTCCATTCGAAAAGCTAATAGGAAGATGTTTCGAGCCATACCTGTATATTTACATAGAGAGTCTGGATCGCAATTTGGCAGATCTGATGGACAAGTTCGTGTCCGATGCTAAAACACAACCGCCGGGTGCTAAGGAATTCGACGGCATCGAAGGCCCGAGCAGCGTGTTGAGCTCGTGTGCCGATTTGTTTGTATTTTACAAGAAGTGCATGCTGCAATGTACGCAACTCAGCACCGGCTTAATCATGCAGAGCCTTGCCGAGACTTTTCAAAAGTACCTACGGGAATACGCAGTTAAGATCTTGCAGAATAATTTACCCAAGTGAGTCTCTAAAAATCATGTCAATCAGTCAGAAGATTCATGTTACCTATATGCATCTTACATTCCATAACTTAACTGTTATAGAATCGGAAGTGCGGGAATTGGCACTAGCATGAGCAATATCACACGCGACCTCACGCGAGATCTTTCAACGTCGGGCTTCATACAGAATTTCCAAAGTTTTTTGAAGGAGGGAGAAACCGCCAGATTTAGCAAAGAGGAGCAATCTCGTATATGTTGGCAAGTACATTTGTTATTAATTTTTTATTTTCGTTCTACAAAGCAAGTAGTTGTTGAAATAATTATTGAAACTTTTTTTTTCAGTATTTTGACAACGGCAGACTATTGTTCAGAAACGACACAGCAATTAGGGGAGAAACTGCGCGAGAAGACAGATGAATGCTGTCGGGATAAAATAAATTTATCTCAAGAACAGGATATTTTCCATGGGTACACATCCCCTTTTCTCTGAGTTTTATATGTTTTTAAAAATTTTCTTGATTTATAAATTTCTGTCATTTGTTTCAGCGTGATTACTAATTGTATCCAGTTGCTAGTTCAAGATCTGGAAGCAGCGTGCGAATCCGCATTGACTGCAATGACTAAAGTAATTATAATGGCACATTAATTACATATAATTCAGATATATCACTCTGCAATATATAAATAAAATTAATTATTATATTGTGCTATTTTTAAATAATATAAAATTGATAATCAATAATTACATAGAAATGCAGTCAGACTCCTTTTATGTCTTAGGTGCAATGGAGTTCTATGGAAGTCGTGGGCGATCAGAGTAATTACGTTAATACGATAATAGCGCATCTTCGGCAAACAATACCAACCATTCGAGATAGACTATCTTCTTGTAGAAAATACTTCATACAGATTTGTTCAAATTTCGCCAGGTAAAACATCTGCCATATATTTGTAAACGTAAACGAGACATCTTGCGATTCTCTATATTCGGTGTGTTGTTTCAGCTCTTTCATAGCGAAATTAGTACAGCAATTATTTAAGTGCAAGCCATTAAGTACCGTCGGCGCAGAGCAGCTGTTGTTAGATGTCCACATGTTGAAGACGGCCTTGCTGGATCTTCCATCGACGGGTTATCAAGTACAGAGAAAAGCTCCAGTGTCATATACCAAAGTAATAATTTAATACTTTAGAAGGTAGACAGTGAATAAATTGGCCGTATACTTAATGTATGTTGTTTATCGTACAGGTTGTGGTCGAAGGTATGGCAAAAGCTGAAATGATATTGAAGATTGTAATGTCCCCAATTGAATCTCCCAGTGACTTCGTGAAACATTGCAACGTACGCTTGCCTCATTTGAAACTCACAGAATTTCAAAAAATTTTGGATATGAAGGTAATTTTTGCAATAAGTAAAATCACAATCTATTGCATTTTTTTTTAATCTCATGTAATCAATGTATATTTCAGGGATTGAAAAAGACGGATCAAACTGTATTGAGCGAGCAATTTAAGCAATCTGAAAACATGAACGCCACAAACGCTACGAAAAGTCATGTAGTACATAACAGCCCGGAACATGAAGCTGGAAGAATCAAAAGGCTAGAAAAACTCATCATGAAACGAATCTGAGGATATTAAAAAAAGTAATATTAATTGTATATAGTTTAATCTAGGAATTCACTCTCTTAACCTAAAAAAAAAAAAACTTTCTACAAAATAAAAGGAGAAATATGAGAATGTAGGGATATACTTAATCAAATAAATATAAATACCATATTTATTTTATCCTTTATTTTTTTATATAATCTGTAGATGATACGGGCAATGTTAACCTTGTTTTTGCGCAAGTTCCTTCGCCTTAGCTTTTTCTAATTTCGCTATTCTGGCCGCGGATTTGCTTCCCAATAAACCACCGCCCCAGTGACGCCTGATTTCATCATATCGATCATTGAAGTTTGTTTTGATGGCTTCGACAATCTTCGCGAAGTTGGCTCGATCGCCAGAATCCACCTGAAATAACAACAGTATATTTTAGTAAAAGTGAAATAAAAGTGGAGGAATTAGACTTTTGTAAATGCGAATCAGAAATCTTTTCAATATCACAATGTATCATTGGATTGGCTCCTTGGGTACTCATCATAAAATAATACAGTTGAATTAAGAATTGAACGCAAATTTACAAGCAATCGACAGACAAAAACTACAAGAAATGGACATAATTACGTACTTGAGTAAGAGCAACAGCTGAGCAGGTCTTACGTCTGACCAGACGTCCCAAACGTGCCTTGCCTTTCACAATGCAGTACGGCACGCCCATCTTGCGGCACAAGGCAGGAAGGAATAACACGATCTGCATCAATAAAGAGAGAACCAATTAGGTTGATACATATAATTTCTTGCAAATGTAACAATATTATAAAATGGCACTCAGGTGTCGTGTGTCATTCCAGGAAATACAAATAAAATGATTTATTTGTACTCTCAGCTGAAGAAATTCAGGCATCATTGTTAAATAGTATAAAGAACTTGCGCTATAATTAGCACTATAAATGGAACTATAAATCCACTGTGAATCAGGAATGTACATTCAACTAACCTCAATGGGATCGACATCGTGAGCTATAACAACTAGTTGAGCCTTCTTCTGCTCCACCAGCGTGGTCACCGAGTTGGTCCCGCTGCGAATGACGTTCGGTTTCTTCGTCGGCGTATCTTCCTTCTTCGCGACCTTCTGCTCAGCTCTCGCCTTCAACCTTGCCTTCTTCATGGCTGCTGATTCGGGACGGTACTTTTCCAACACCTTGAACAACTGTGTAGCTGCAACATAAAAACATTACTTATCGTATTACATTTTTTCCATGCACATTGAATTCAATAATTCTTAAGGGGTTACACCACCTTTGAGGTTTTAAAACAATACCTAAAGTTTGGGAGTTTTTTGTGGGTAAATGGATAACTTTATTTAAAATCTGCTTAGGGGACATTATTGTACATATATAAGAAGCTAAAAAAATATTTCTTTTATTTTTCTTATACCCAAAATGATGGCGCACTGGCCTACATTTGTGAAATCCCTTTTTTTCTATCGGTGTACAGGATTCCAAGTACACGGTTTGATCTTGAATAAAACACAAAGAATTTTCATTATCTAAATATTAAAGACTAGAGAAGTAGAAATTTTTCAAAATATCAACATGACAGCTATTTTACGAAAGACTTGTATTGACAAAAATACGCCCTTTTTCACAAAAATAGCTGCAATTTCGAGAAAAATCAACATTTTAAAAAACCCTTACATACTTCTACATATTCTTTAATATGTAGATAATAAAATCTTTGTGTTTTGTTCAAGATTAAACCGTGTGTCTGGAATCCTGTACCAATTTGGGAAAATAAAGGAATTCCACAAGTAGGCCAGTGCACTACCATTTTGGATATAAAAAAAAATAAAATATTTTTTTACTTCCTTATACATATACAATAAGGTTCTCCAAATATATTTTTAATAAAGTTATCTATTTACCCACACAAAAATCCCAAATTTAGATATCTTTTAACGCCTCGAATGTCGTGTAACCCCTTAATGTGTAAAATATACATTTCTCACCGGTTTGCTTATCCAATGTCTGCGTGAACTGGTTTATCGTCGGTGGCACTTTCAATCTTTTCTGCAACACGGACCTTTGACGCTGAATGCGAATGTACTTCGGCCATCTTACAAAGCGGCTGAGATCACGAGCCGGTTGAATGTCCTGGCCTGAATTTCAATAGAATTTCACAGTAACATGCGACTGTTCCATATAAATTAAGTATTCAACCAGAATTCAGAAAAATTTGACTTACCAATGCCGAAGTTGCGAGTTCGTTTCTCGAAGAGTGGATTAGTCACTTTCTTCGGCTCAACCTTCTTGACCGCCAACGGCGCGGCAGCTACCTTCTTCCCAACCTTCTTCTTGGGCTGAAATTGTAAAGGGAAATTAATGGAAATCAGAGATAATAAAATAATATTGGACTCCTGGCAAAGACAAATAATTTTCGCAAAAAATTGTCGATATAATCGAGTAATTCTAACAGAACATATGAACTAAATTATTGCCACGTTTATGCAAAAAAAAATTTTAAAGAAACACACTTTCAAGAATCAAATGATTTATCTCCTTTATCTCATAAAAATTATGCGATTATTGTTGAAATTCTCCAATCGTTCAAATTCTCGTCGTAGCGTCGAGATCTACGAAGTTACGTTGCATTATACAATTAGGTTATAAAATGTTGATATGATGTCACGTGAACGAATCGATCTGCTCGATCGTTGATGTGCACAGAAGTAGCATTTTTCTGCAGAAGTAGGTCCTCGCTTTCGGAGGATCGCAATTATCGCGTCGCACAATTATCGTGTCAATTGACTGCGGAACGGAAACACATTTTGCGGCTGCACGCCGAAGAAACATGTTCGAGGTTCGAACGCGGATATTTGTGACTGACGACGCCGCTCGACGAAAATATTGCTCGCGCGCGATAGTTTGACAATCTCACCTTCTTCTGAACCATCTTTTTGGCTAGAAATCCGACGGATTTCTGTTAATTTGGTCGAATACGAAACGCGGTACCTCGCCGAACACGACGCGAAGTACAGCCCCCGACTCCGTAAAGGAAGTCACGCACCGCGGCGCCACCGAAGGCCCGTGTTGACACCTAACTGCACCTAACGTCGAAACACGGCGGTAGTTTTAAATGCAATAACTTACAATTTAATTATATTTGAAGAATATATAAAACATGCAGCTCTAATATTTTCAACACTAATTATTAATAATCAACATTAACTAAATAATTGATATGAATTCATATTAAAAAAGACAGATTTTGAAAGATGCGGTTGCAAGTGAAAACGAATGCCAATATTGTGCAATTGTATAAATATTACACAATTATTTTATAAAATTATTATTATATATATAAATACTTGCTTATGGATAAAATTTATATTTGTTTAGAAAACTTACGAATAAGGTTTATATTTCTTAATTTACTTTGTCGTTTCATCGACACGCATATATTGTTTATCTCTCTCGCAGGTTAGGGTTAGAAGCGAAATTAAGGTTATTATAACCTCAATCTTTGCGGAGAATAAACCGGAGCAACCGGAGGTGATGTCTGGTCGTAAACTTGTCACCGTCAACGATATTTAGGAGAGTGATCGACAATCGTGATGGTGAAATATCTCATATTATAAAAAATTAGAAAGAGAGAAAAAAAAGTTGATTTGTATCTGAGAGATAGATATTGTTCCTATATTGCAGATCGAGACAAAGTTGATTGGTTAATTTAAATTAAAAAAAGGAATCAATCGAGATCATTGAGCGCAAAAAAAGATGACGCTAAAGATTCCGTTCCGCGGGGGAAGCTGGATGTTGCGCGACAAGCTGAACCCGCTGACAGGTCTGAGGTACAATCCGAATGGCGCGTGCAACGCCGCGCCGATGTCCACGTTGCCGCCCGACAGCCCGATGAACGTGTTCGACCGGGGCGTGAAGCTGCTGCAGCGCGAGCGCGCCGCCAGGGACGCCAATGTCCGGTTGTACGACTACGTCAAGGACGAGGTGGGCGACCGGCTGGCCGACCGGATATTCGACATCAAGCGAAAGTTCGGCAGGGCCCTCGACCTGGGATGCGGCCGCGGTCACGTGTCCAAGCGGATCCTCGGCGAGTCCGTGGAGGAGCTGGTGCTGGCCGACATGAGCCCGGGTTTCCTGCGGCAGGCCGAGACCACGGAGGGCGTGAGGGTCAAGCGGGTGGTCCTCGACGAGGAGAGTCCGTCCTTCGAGCCCGACAGCTTCGACATGGTGATCAGTTGCCTGAGTCTCCATTGGGTCAACGATCTTCCCGGATGTCTTAGACTTGTCAACAATTGCCTGAGGAAGGACGGGGTCTTTCTGGCGGCCGTGTTCGGCGGCGATACGCTTTACGAGCTGAGGTAAAGCTCTCGACAAGTCGAGAGAAATCTTCCGGACCGTCGCGTCTCCCATTTTGCGCGTTTATTTTATTTCTGGCATTCGTTCTGATAATACAGAAGTTCCTTGCAATTAGCTGAACTCGAGAGGCACGGTGGGATCTCGCCGCACATCTCGCCGTTCGCGGAGATCAGAGACATCGGGTCCCTGCTAACGAGAGCGAACTTCAGCATGCTGACTATCGACACCGACGAGATAGTCATCGGCTACCCGAGCATGTTCGAGCTCATGTGGGACCTGAAAGGTAGGTAATAAAAAAATCTTGACTGGGAATAGAAATTACACGAAGCAGGCGTATTATGTAACTTATACTCTCGTCTCTCCAGGAATGGCCGAGAGCAATGCAGCTAGGAATCGTAATTTGCATCTGCCGAGGGACACGCTGATCGCAGCGGCGTCCGTGTACAAGGAGCTCTATGGAAAGACGCGAGAGGACAACACCCCGTTCGTGCCCGCCACGTTTCAGGTGATATACATGCTGGGCTGGAAACCGGACGCCTCTCAACCGAAGCCTCTCGAGAGGGGGACCGGGCAGGTGTCGCTCAAGGACTTGTACAGGCTCGATCAGATAGTCAAGGACAGGAAGAAGATAAAATTGGACGACGACGACCAGTAGCCTGTGTTAAATAGCCTTTATTCGATCGCGCGTTGAATGTAAATACTCTGTACCGCGTGTAAAAACTTAACATTGTATAAATTCTTTCCCTCGAATAGGTTAGGCGTAAAAAATAACTTATTGAAACAATCGCATTTTGTTGTCATCCCACACATACCGCACCGATTCACGATTTCTTCTCCTCGTCCTTGTGAACTACGACGCCCTTTTCTATGAGCTCTGGAATCTCCACTGCCAGCCACGGTCCCAACTGAAAAAGGGAAATAACTCTGCGTTAGATTCTTTTGTGAAAATAGGGTTCTGTTTTGATATAAAAATTTATAATGCCAAGCCTTTTAATGCTTTCACTGTACATTTAATTATTAATTAATTGTAGGCAAAGTATTTAGACTTACACCAAGAGCCATTGCATGAGCGATGCCGAACTTTGGAACGTTGCGAGCCCACAATGGCTTGAAATGATCAGTCAGGCAGATCTTGCCGCCTCTATACATTTTTGCGGTTTTTCCATCTAATTCTGGTAAAGCAATTTCGGGTGCCGTTGTGGGATATGTGACAGGAATCTAACGTTGAGAAGAAAAAAAGCACTGTTAAAGTAACATTGTTAAACCTTTGTTCATTTTTAGATTTTAATTATTTTAATTTTTTAACATAATTGACTGAAAATATTATTTAAATAGATATTATTTATTAGAATATTATTTAAATGGAATTCTATATTGGATATAACATAAAATTTTCATTAATCTTTTTCTTATTTAAATAACAAAAATAAACTAAGAAAAAGATAATGTAAGAACAATGTCACTTACATCAAACTCCACTTCAAATTCGTACTTCAGGAAATTCTGAATGTACCAGCACTTGCCAAACCACCTGGTGCCTTCCTTGTTCGATTCCAATCGGAACCAGTCGTTGTCCGCCTCCTTATTATTTTTGACATACTACAACAAAATCGTATAATGAAATCTCATAATATGATTAAGTCTAACTGTCCCTATTGGTGTGCTTTTATATTTAAATAAGTTATAAAAATAAACTGGTACAAATAAATAGACAAAGTGTTTTTTTTATTAAGTTAAAGTATTAACTTTTATTTAAATAAGTTATAAAAATAAACTGGTACAAATAGAGTGTTTTTTTTATTAAGTTAAAGTATTAACTTTTATTTAAATAAGTTATAAAAATAAACTGGTACAAATAAATAGTGTTTTTTTTTTATTAAGTTAATACTTCATATTAAGTTAATACTTTAACTTAATAAAAAAAACACTTTGTCTATTTGTACCAGTTTATTTTTATAACTTATTTAAATATAAAAGCACACTAATAGGGACGTACAGGCACACTGATAGGGACAGTTACCCTATATATTAATAGTACATTAATAATTTTTAATCTGTTTATTATATTTCTGCAAAATATTCTTGCGATAAATGTTATGCTACTCAACAGTGTGCCGTCGCACAAATTAACTTCCAACATTTATAAACTGAGCACCGTTTTCCATATGGACCGTGACGTTTACAAGCTCGCAAGCAAAAGGGAGCTCCGTCAATTTTCTCACCCTGTATTTATATAAACTAATTGTAAGCAACAAAAACACTATTTTCCATATGGACGTGACGTTTATAAGCTCGCAAGCGAGAGAGAGAGAGAGAGCCCCGTCAGTTTTCTCACCCTGATAAGAGCCTGATATTCCTCCTTCAACCTCTGCACCCACAAATCTTTGTCTCTGGGACCGGACTTCGTCTGCAACAATGGAATGTTGCTCAAAGTCTTTTTCGTCGACTCGTCCATCTCGACGCGGGACGGGTCGGGAGCAACAATCCAATTCGCGTTGTCTTTGAGGTTACGGTGCCGCTTCCGCTTATCGTGCGATCAACGTTGCCAACCTAACGCCACGCAGCCACACGCGCTTCTTCGAGATTTGTATTTTGTGCAACGAACGACTGAAGGAAAAAAAAAAGGTGGACAACAATTAACGCGTATCTCTCCAAACAGCTAACGAATAAAAGATACAGTTCGTTCTCTCGTTTTCTTTTTACGATCCTGTTCTCGGGCTGTTTTTTTTTTCTAACGGTGCGCTCGTCTCTCTCTCTCTCTCTCGATCGATCGCATTCGTAATTTCGTAGAGACGGTTGAACAGTTGCATTCCTGCGGCTGCCGCTGAACAGGCGTGTGTGTCGCGCCCGGTTGTAGTCCACACTCCACCGCTTCATTTACTGCGAGTGCGGTAACGAGATAAGTACGTTGAGGACATCGTTGAGACGCACGCTCGCGAGAGCGGCGATGAGACGCTAAATCGACGTCCGTCAGTAGCGTGCTCGTGATAAGACCCGTGGATAGATACAGCGAACGCACGATGGCCGACTCGTCTTACGAGAAGGGGTTAACCGAGCTGTCGAAGATGAAGGTGAGCAGCGTCGACTCGTGTGTGCGGCGTACTTACGTGCAGCGGCGCGGCTCCGCCGTTCCTCGGCGATGCTCTCCGATCGTTCGATCTCCCCTCCCCCCCCCCTGGCATAGTCGCGCCCTTCCGATCACTTCGTCCCACTCAGCTCCGCTGATTGATTTCAACGCGTCGTTCTCGCGACTCTCCGAGACCGGTGGCCGAGCGCCGACTACGCTTGTAATACGTATGACATGTGCAATTATGTACTTGGATTTACAAGATTGGCTACGTCTGGTAGTAGTAGAAAAGGGTAACAGAGTGCACCGGCATGAACAATTGAAGACTTTCATTTATTAGTAAATATTACAATTCCATTTTGCACACATTTCGTTGTTTTTATCGCGAAATAATGTATTCTCGGTCTAAACGGAAGATCAGTTAAAATATGCTTGGCGACAAGCCGAACTGTGAGCCTAACTGCGTTCAAGCTTTTATTTCAATTGTAACATGTAAATTTCTCTTTTTCCTTTCTCGCAGATCGTGACTCCCACATAATCTTTTTCTCGTAGTCTCCAGAATCTTAACTAATTGTAACTTTTTAACGTTATAGATAAGAAGCAGTAAAATACGATTTTTTCATATTTTTTGAGCCTTGGAATTTCTTTTAATTTCCACGAAATTTCCTTGACACTGTTATATTTTTCAGGTGGCTGACCTAAGGGTTGAATTGAAGCAACGAGGACTGCCCACTACAGGGAATAAAAATGAATTGGTGGAAAGACTTCAGCTGGCAATCCATGGAGGTTCTCATTTTATTTTATTTCAGTTCTTTCTTTCTGATACAAATATCTTAGGCATATTTGTAAAAGAATGATTTACATCTTACAGATTCCGCATTGTCCTTGGACGAAACTACGGAAGAGATTTTAGATGAAGACGAAGTACTTGGCGTAAGTGTGCCATACAAGCATAGTAATAATGACGTTAATCCTTTTGTTTCGGCTGTCTCTGCTGCGAAACACGTTATACAATACAGCTGTACAAATCGTGCTCGTACTTCAAAAGACTGCGTTCCACTTAATGCAACGCTTTTGGAATCATTTTATCTTTGTTGTTTATTCAAATGTGAAACAAGGACAAATATTGCTTGTGAGCGTTGCGAACATTAAATGGAAGCAGCCAAAGTGACAATGCCTAAATTATATATAATTATTTAACCCGGCATCATTGCGATGTTAAAATGTTACACGGTCATTCATGTGGGTCATGATGATTCGAATATTTTTTGGTCTACTCTTGCAATATCACTACTCTTGCTATGGTTTTAGAAAATTAATAGGTTATATGGAATAGTAGTAGAATCTCTTAATATATTATTCTGATAAAATAAATTACTAAAATAACAAAGAGTATTAAATCAGATAATTAACATTTAAATGAGAAGCAAAAAAGGACAATGAGCCAGCATGATGTTGATGAAGAAAGAATAAATATATTAGTAATTGAAATTAAATACAATAAAAGATCCAAACGTTTCGATTTATATTAATAACTTTTGGGTCTTTTATTGTATTTATTTTCAATTACTAATATATTTGTTCTTTTAAACCGTTCTCAGTGGATTAGAAATGTCAGAATAAAAATTATAAATGTAAAAATTAATGCGTCAAAGTTTGAAAGACGGTCGCTCGTAATTAATTGTCAAAAACGTGCAATACAAATAAAAAATTCTTTTCTCCTTGGTCAATATTTTTTCGAGGTCGCATTTTTAACTGACAAGTTTTTCTCTTGCTTGCTAACACAAGTCTCAATACAAAATGTAATACATTTATGACTCTTGTCACCTTACTGCCACTGACAGAATGACAGTTATATTTACAATTTCACTTCTTAAAATTGTAAATGACTTGATGACATTTTTTTACTATGGATTGTGTGCGACCTCGAAAAAATATATCATACACTGAGAATGGTTTAATATAAATCGAAATATTAAGATCTTTTATTGTATCTTATTTAATTTTAATTATCAATATATTTATTCTTTTTGTATCAACATTGTGCCTGACTCATTGCCCTTTTTTGCTTCTCATATAAATCACTAAATGTATATAAAAGGCACTTTTATTTATTATAAGTTACAAGTATGTAACAGGATATAAATATTTAAAAACGTTTCGAGTCATTTTGATCCTCAATGACATCGGGTCATATATTATTATGCTTTATGATAAGAAGAGTATCAAGGATAGAATGAATAAATCTTTTCAAGTGCCGATGTCTGTAAGATGTGCACATTGCAACATACCATATTACTTATCAAAATGTGAGATAATAAGCGCCGAGCGTTGAGCGACTATGGTCGCTTTAATAGTACACTGAGATCAGCTTTGTGACAGGCGGCTATAGTTGTCCAAACAGGCTAATAATAATGTTAATGTATTAAACAGTAGAATATACCTGAATATTACATATATTAATTCTGTTAACATAATTATTTCTGTTATAAATACGTAAAAATTTTGGATTAATTGCAGGATGAAGAAATAGAAGAATTGTCGAGTAAGCCAGACTCACAGGAGATCCCTGAGAAGCGAAAATTGAGTTCCATAGAGAGCAATAATACCAATGCGAAAAAGATAGTACTGAATCGCAAATCCGTGTTGGAAGAAATAAAAAATGACCAAGTAGAAAAGAAAGAAAACAAAGGAGCCAAAGTGACCGAAAACGCGCCGCCAGAGAAAAAGATTATCAAATTGTCCGAGCTAAGCACAAAAGAGGTAGCTAAAAATATATTATTCTTATCCGTTAAATCATCGAATAATAAAATTCATATACTTCTGAACAATGCAACGCGTGCTTGCTATATTATATCATTTATTAATACATGATTGTATTAATTTTTCGACAGAGATTGGAGATGAGAGCTAAGAAATTTGGAGTGCCATTATCCGAGTCGGCAAAGAAGGAGGCTAGATTAGCTCGTTTTAACGTCAATAATCAAAATAATAAATCGGCTGCATCCATAAAGACGCCCGTGGTAAGAGATTTGTAGTTTGCTTTTACGATTTTATGTTATAGAGACGAAATGACAATTCACAGAATTTTTATAACAATTTTCAATAAATTTTTCGTTTAGCCTACTTCATACGAAGTGCTGAAGAAACGTGCAGAAAGATTCGGTAGCTCAGTGTCCACCTTAATGGAGAAGGTAAGCAAAAATAGTTACCTTTGCAAAAAATATGTGTACGTTTTTGAAGACTTGCACATCTTTTTTTTTCGTCACTGATTTTAAATCTCTTGTTTCTTTTAGGCTGAATTGGCTGAACGATTGGAGAAAAGAAAGGCCAGATTCGGTGACGTGAAGCCCGAAAGCAAAGCAACAAAGAATAAAATTAAGATAATTAAATGATACTCGGTGTTATATACTAAAGCGACGATCTAGATTACATCTTAATTTAAGTTTTCTTATTTTCAATAAAGCTACTATGTATATATACGTATATATATGTATATATATATACAGGAAGAGAATAATGTCTTATTGATAATATACTTTTTATCTCACTACTTCAGTATTAAAGCATCCATACTTTTTTTTTCGTTCATTTTTCTGTTATATTTGCTTTATCACATTCGAACTTCTTGTAAAAAAAAAAAGATGAGAGAAGAATCTTAGAAAATGTAAATGGATGTATTACACTAATAAATTCACATATGCAACAGTATTTTGGTCGTAATTAGTTATCGGTACGAAAAATGAAACCTGACATTTCATCATTTTAGGATGGGATTGTGTAAAAAAAATGTGCATGTGCTATAATATGCGTATGTGATAAAAAACTAAATTATGAGATATAGAACTCTATTTAATTGCATTGAATACATCCTATTTTAATACATTAATGGATATTTATTCGAATAAATACATCATTGTTAATAATAAGAGAAAAAATGGTGTTCTTGCAAAAAAATATAATCTAGAAATACAATATTTTTTCAAAGTTTTACCAGTCGATAAATCGAACGATCTATTCGAAAGAACTAGATTCTAGCAGGGTGTTTCCTTTTAACGATTTGGTAATACTAACATTACTAGCGGTAATGTTTAGTATGATACACTGTGATACCAGTGTCCGAACACCGAACAGCGAACTCCGAAGGAGAGACATCATACTTTTTTGTACCGGCATGTGTTTTTCTAACAATTGTCAGTATTGTCATCACTCAAAATATTTATCTGGCGTTTTTCTCTCACGATAGAACGGAATTGAACGGCATTTTCGAAGATCGCGAAGAGGCGTATGCATGTCGATCATGCATGTTCTGCAGGTGTCAATATACATTGCATTTTACCTGTGTGCGTTCTTCTTGACTGCCAATTGTGAGGAATCCGATACAGTCGATGATGTCACACCGTGAGTATTTTGACATGTTAGAGGACATTTTTCCGGCCGAAATAAATTCATTGAAATCTATGTACTTGTAGCATAATTTCTTCCTAAGCTATGTGCAAGTATTTTTTCCCTGCCTTTAAGTAAACAATCCCTTGCATACAATTACAAAATTGTACGCAAAGTATAATTTTTCTTATGTAATTCACATAATACATCTTAATTGTATATTTGTATAAAGAACATATATTGTCCTTTCATTTGAAATGTTTTAGATTCTCTGTACATAAAGGTATTTTTTTTATTTCAGACCCGCTCCTGAGCTCAGAAATATAAACTCGTTCTTCTATATGTCTGCGAAAGAAGACTCATTTAGGTATAAGTTATTCTATACAAAATATAAAATGTTGAGATTGACGAACTATTTTGACTCTCTTAAATTTTAGTCCCGCAGAGACAGGGAAGAACGAGCAATCGCTTTCCATAGCACAGCCATGCAATTGTAAAGATGAACGAAATACTCAGGAAGCAATCTTCTACAAACGTTTGAATGCCATCCTACTATCGAATCTTGCGATGCAGGTGAGTTGCGATATGTAATTGAAAGGAGTAAAGCCTAAAACTTGAAAATTTAATTGACTGTTAAAATCAATATAAAAATGCTTATTTATATGAAATGCAAAACAAATTTTGCTTGCAGAGAAATGATGACAGATTAGTTGGAACGCTTAACATAGAAATGTCTTCCTCACAATTGGAGTATCTGCAGAACTTTGTAAACGGCCAGGGTTCTATAAGAGAAGTCGACAGAATTCTCGATAGTGCTATAAAACGGCCTGAATACTCGGCATGTCACTACATGGCCGAGGCGTCTCATTACTTCAATATATTTGCGAGCAAAACATCAGAGTATTGGATGTATTATGTATCACTTGTGAAAGAACACGTAAGAATATAATTTAATAGTATTTATAACATTTAAGATACACTTCTACATTTTGAATTTATATAGTAATGTAGACCTAATTAATTTTCTAATCTAATTAAATTGTGTGTTACAGTGGGACATAACTATAATCTCTTTTACACTCGTAGTTAGTTTTATGATTTTGAGAAGACAAGGATGTTCTCGAGGTTTAGTTATCTTTCTCATGATTGATGTTATATTTGTAATTAGTTTTTTCATAACTTGGTGGCGACTCATACAGGTAAATAATTTAATTTACATATTATTTTTCATAAAAAATATATTTAAAGATACATACATCTGTATATTGATTATATTTAAAAACTTTACAGTAAAATGTATTGAGGGGAGATTCATATATACTTGTATTTTGACTAAAATAATTACTACACATGTAAAAGATAATTTTTTATTTTAAAAATTATTTTATTTTGCAGGAAGCAGAGATTAAATTAACGGCGGCACAAGCACAATTTGCAGAAATGCCAATTGCCTGCCAGCCGCACAAAATGAGTCTTCGGGACAAGATAGTCACATGGTTTTTTCGTGAGTAGCGTATTTATAATATGAGATGCATTCGAGACATTAAAGTATTGTTTGTAAGTGAAAAATCTGTTAACAGCTACAAACGATTGTGAAAAATATTACGAATCGATCATGACGGATCCTAGGCTGCAAGTGACACCAGCACTTGCATTGACTCATTTTCTCAGTACTGTCATATTTCAACCTTTATCATACTTTGGACTTGTTATATCTGAATTTATAGACAATGCCACCGGTAAGTAAATTGCTTCAATGTTAATAATGTACAGAGATTCAAGTATTATTGAATTATTAACTATGTCACGCATTGTTTCACAGGTAAATTGAACTTTTTGTACAAGTTTCCTATTGTACTCGCCCTCTTCTTAAGTTTCTGTATATGTATAATATTGATACCGTTTTCCTGGATTGGCGGATCTATTAACTTTGGTATTGGGCCATTCTTCAAATTTGGAATGAAAGGCAGACAAAGTTCGCCAAAGAAAGAAGACCGCATTGAACGGGTTTATGAGGTATTAGCTACATTTATACATATATATATTTATTAATCTTAAAATTATTTTTTGGTATATTTATGACTTAAATTATTGATTAAAATTATTAATTTGTTTATGCGTTACAAGTCTGAAATTAATTGGGCGCGCAGTTAAAAAATGACAAATATGAAATTAGAATTTATACATAGAAATATTATTAGCTAAGAATGCCAAGATCCTTTGTCAAAGGCGCTCTCAAATTGAATTGTGTTTATCATTTACGTAGTCTATTTCAAAATTTTATTAATTATTTATTAATTTGTTTTTGTGATTGTTAAAAGATTATTGTTCTAAATTAGTTGTAATTAATTGCAAATAAGAAAATTTCAAATATTTTATTAATAAAAAATTTCTGTAGTATTATAAATATATCTATTTAAATGTAGATACATACCTTTTTTTTTATTTTAGGAAACTTCACCTAAAAGGTTGAAAGATTCGGGAAAACTGAAACAAATTACATTGGGGCAAGATAATGGTAAATAACATTATATATATATATACATATTTTTAAATAGATTTTTGTAAATACTAAAATGATTATTACTGCATATTAGATCTTGCTGGAGGCGACGCTAGTACCGACGCGCATCATTCAAGAGAAAGACGTAAAAAGTGCAAGTGTGAAAATAAAAATGGAAATAAAGATGCGGAATGTATGCAGAAAGAGAAGGATCAAAATTGTTAATGTTCTTACACTGCTACATATGTAGTACTCTTATTGTTTTTACCAGATTTATTTTACATTACTAATTAAGCTCTTTAGCTTAGTAATTATTAATTTTTATACTATTAATAATAAGCGCATATCGGTATTGTATATTTGAAATTATAAGCTCACTTTATTTGTCTTATGATTATGAAAAAGTGTTGATGGCTATAAATCGATCTGAAAATAAGTATATTTAGTGTCGGTTTAATATATTGAAAATATTGAAAAAATTTTATTGTATCATAAAATATACTTTTTCATATATTTTCACATAATTAATTTATTTTAGTATCTTGCTTGTAGGAATTGTACTACCGTTCTCAATGCGCGAATGCGCTGCGAATTACTGGTGTAAGAGCACTTTGTATTTTTATAAATTATTACTACTTGCTGTGATAAATCTTATATACTTAATCATAAGATAATGTATACCGATTAGCGCGATACACGCAGCTATTATTTTGTAAAGCTTGTTCAAAGTACCTTATTAAACGATACATTGAATACTTAACACGACGTTTCATTACCATCGTCCATTGTATATTTAATTGCTTGAGTATTAATAAATTGCGAATGGCATTCGCGCAAATTGCACGGGGATGAATAAACGGCAAATGCGGCGGAAATGAAAACATTCTGTTGTTCGAACGGCAGCCCGGCGGCTGCGCTTTATGTCAACTCAGCTTAATGATCGGTGAGCAAGCAAGGATTTGTCAAATTTGCTAAATGTAACGTCTGCGTTTCTCGCGTAATTTCGCCCATCCTCTGTGTACTCGCGGACCGACGGTCCAGCCATAATTGGACGAAAATGAAGTACCTCATCGAAGTACGACGCTTAAGAGATAAACTGTTGCAAAAATCGGACAAGAAGTTGTAAAATTTTTTTGATTTCTGTATTTGGATCAAAATTGGCGGATTTTATTCAATCTTTTTTTTTTATGTATAATTGCACGTTCATTTTTCGATTTTATTTTTAAAATAACACAATCGAAATCCGTCCATTTTATCATGTCGCAGAAGAATACAAGATGTGGATACATAACTCGGTTCCCGTTATATAAGCGCGATATCCTTTTCATCAATATTACATTATTCTCATTTCATTTGTCTTGTTTTACGCGGGGCGTAATTAAATATCAGTGGCTGGTATGCATAAACCGTATAATGGACATCGTACCGTTAAAAGGTTTTAATATATGAAATGCACGTACGTGTTCTTGAGTTGGGAAAAAAAATTATATCTTTCCGATGTTTGCAACGATTTATTTTTCCCGGTCGTCACACGATGAAATCATCCTCATCGAATTAAGATAATATTAGACCGTAGTAAATTTAACGACGGATAACGTTAATTACCGTCGAGATATCCGCAAAGAATACACTAATTAGCGTCGAAGATCGTGTACACGAGCGGTTTCTTTCGCGCCAGCGAAAAACGCAGTCGAAAAACTTTGAAAAATAGGAAGAGCGTCTTCCGTTTTTTTCCACCCTCTCTTTCCAACGTCGTCCAGGCAATTTTTCACGATATCGACCCTCCTTTTTACCGAAGCAAACATTTTGCGTTCCGAATTTGGGGCGTTAAAAGGTTTTGCATTATTGCAAATGTGTATATATATGTACTTTTATAGTCATCGGATTTCAATCCGTTAATGAGTCGTGAGTGAGGTATTGCATTTCCACCGTGGAAGCGTGCATTTACCGAAAGTGGGAATGCATTGCGGGCTTTTCATTACGCAAGATTTATTGCAAAATGTCACGTCCCCCTCTGTTCGTTTTCTCCACATACGTACATCTGTGCTAGACAAAATTGAATATTCGTAGCGAAGTAAATTAATATATATGTATACACTTATAAACTATAGGATATAATTAAACATACAAGGTAAAAATAAATACATAACATAAGAACGTGATTAAAAACCTATAAAGATAAAGAAGTGCTATAATTCTTAAAATTTTTGCTTTACTTTTTTTTGTTAGATAAATACATATTGTATGTTTATTAGGGTGGACCTTATTTATACTTGGTGAAAAATTGTTTCCAAATTTTTTTCACGACGTCCCCTAAAGTTGTTCCATTTGGTGAAAAAAAAATGGTGTAAAAGTTGAGTTCAATCGGATAACGGAAAGACGTGGCACAATTCTATTAAAGTTGAAACAAATATTTTTCTTATAAAAAATTGAGAAATTCGATGAATTCCGAATAAAGATTAAATGATTTTCTTAATAAATGTTAACTATGATAGTATGTTTCTTAATAAATATAGTATATTTAAATCGTATTTAAACAAAATATATCGTATTTTTATATTTATAAGCAAGCAGGAAAATAAAGATATCAATATATTGTTTGTATCTATATATTTTACAAGATCGGAAGAGCA